GTGTGTGTGTGTGTGTGTGTGTGAGCAAGTGTAAAATACCCCAGCCATGTATTGCTTACTTTAAAGAAAAGATCTTGACGAGTATAAACATATATATCTGAGACACAGCTTAAATTTCAAAGCAAAACAAATCTTGCGAACCTACAAATAAAAGAAAACCAGTGTCCGAACCCAATGTTTTCAGTAGGCTTCTCCGATGATTTGGTCTGGCTACTGTATTATTTTAACCAGTCTCCTAAAAGTAAAAGACCGTCGTTACATTCAACTTTTTCTCTGAAGGTCTTAGCTAACTGTGTTCTTCCCAGTTTCTTCATTGCTAGTAAATTAAATGTTTACACCCCAATCGACACAATTTAGGCAATTTAACATTATCAACTGTTTCCTTCCCCCTTCCTTATTACACTAATGTAGGAAAAGTGGTTTTCCAAGACCCAGTAAGCCAATTTTGATGAGCGCCTGATTCCACTGTGTCTTGACACAACTATAATTCTTCTCCCCATTTCCGCAGGCTGCTACTACATCAAAGCATACCGCAGCTGGGGCAGGACTCGCTACTCTGAGCCATCCAGGCTTCCAGACAATCTGCCTTGTGACATTGACGCCGCGTGGGATCTGGAGACCTTCTGGAGCAGCATGGTCCTTGCCAAGAACGACCAGGTCAGTTGGTTTACTGACTTCGCTTATTGTTATACTATAAAGTAATTATTGTTGAGGAGCATTCACAAGTGCTATCAGATCCGAGTTGGACGTTAAATTAGAGCCGTTGTTCTTTAATGACCACGCTGTTTTTAAGAGGAAAAGTCAAGAAAGTGAGTGCACAAAGGGCCGTCATAGCATTCCAGCGTAGTAGCACCTACAGAATTGGCTATTTTAGAGAATGCAAACTTGTTCTTCCGACAAGACACAGTCTGAGAAGTTTAAAGTTTGGTTTAATCTTAATGGGTCGCGAGATTCAAAATACATCATTCTGAAGCCGGATAAATGGGAAGCTGGGTAAAGTGGATGTATTACGCGGAGAGCCATTTCAGAAAAAGAAAAGTTTTGTCATCTCGGCAACAACATAATCTCCAAATATAACAATAATAACAGCAATGGTAACATAATAACCTCAGTTGCCACAACAGGACTATCATAGTATCAAAGACGGAGGAGAAATGTATTTATTCTATACACCGAGTATATTTTTACCGTCTTGAAAACGGAACCTCTGGTGTCTGTGGTGTAGCGGTTAAACGCAAACAAGAGAACCGAGTTCGATTCGCAAGTGGGAAAACATTTTTATCGAGTATCTTGGTCTTTCTGCTGAGACGTCGTTTCTCTCTCAGCCCGGCTTGGCCTTGGCAGGCAGGGTTGGAAGTGCGTCTTCCAAATGATCTAAATAGTGTCGATGTAGGTATATAAAAATCTATATTACCTATAAAAAAATCAAATACCCCCCCTCCCAAAGACAACAAAAAACAACAACCCCCAAACAAGATACCCCCTCCAACCCCCCCAACACCCCCCAATAAACAAGCAAAGAAACAGACAAAACAACAAACAAACAAACCCAACCCCTAAACAACAACAACAAATCACAACAACAACAACGGAACCGCAAACATTACAATTTCACCGTCACCTGTTATATCCCCGAGGACACATGGAGTGTCGCACATGACAGAACGCTACGAATAAACGTGTCAGACTACTCGTAATGTCATTCTCCTATGGAAATTTCTGTCCCATTCTGCTGCAACAAAAGTTATCAGAACAGAGCAGAAATAATTACGTTCAGGTCTGATTCAGACATTGTGATGGAAATAATACTTTTTATTGTCCAGTTATGATAATTCCAACAGTTTTCCACGTGAAATGAATATTTATTCCCGTATGAAGGTAAACTAAGCGCAAGTCCGCAAACTGTGTGGCCCCCGCCATGACGAATAATTATGCATGTATTCGAACCAGAATCGGGCAATGACCCCGAATTTTAAACTGAAAATTGAGTTAGGTTTAGCACACTAACGATTTTATACGACAACGTGGGTGAAAATAAAGATAATAAAATACTTAAATGTAGAAATAGCAAAGTAGGGGCATAGACAAGAAAAATATTATTCAACCACATATTGGTGGAATAATATAATTCCCGTATTCAATATTATCAAGTGCAGCTTTTCTCTCTTTAAAATCTAAGGCATAGGTTCTTAGTTGTATCGGTTGTGAAATATCGTCCGGGGGATTTCGGAGCAAAATAATATCAAAGCAGGAGGTCAGGATCCGTTCTGAATCCAGGCTTCTCGAGAAATGCATCTCTCTCTCTCTCTCTCTCTCTCTCTCTCTCTCTCTCTCTCTCTCTCTCTCTCTCCCTCCCTCTCTCTGTCTCTCTCTGTCCCTCTCTCTGTCTCTCTCTCTCCCTCTCTCCCCCTCTCTCTCTCTTTATATCTTACCATCTCTCTCTTTCTCTCCCCCCTGTGTACGTGTGCGCGCGTCCTTGCATGTATGGGTGCGTGTGTGCGTATGTGGGTGTCCCTCAAATATACCTGTACAAAAGGATAGATAATTCGAAAGTCCACCCTAAACAGACTTAGAGGTGGGAGAATAAAACTCGATCTCTAATTTGAACCCATTCTCTCATTCAATACACAGGTTTGGATCTGGTCATTGGAGTCCATCACTGGTCCTTCCCCCCTCTCCGACTTCTACAGCACTCAGCCCTGGAACTTGTGCACCACCCCTGACAACTCTACCAGAGTTTAAGACGTCCCATAATGCATCACGACGTCTGCACTCTCGAACCCAAAAGACCATGTGAAACCTCTAAAAGAACATACAAAAAAACATGATGTCACATTCGTGGTGATATTGAAACAAAACCCACATTCATTCAAAGGAAACATTAATTGATTCACCAAAAATTCACAGTACCATTAAAACTGTATCGTTCTTTTTACTCGGCGTGTTATCGTACTTTGTATTTGGAAAACCCCCTCCCCCCCACCCACACTCCCGCCATCAACTCTCTCTCTCTCTCTCTCTCTCTCTCTCTCTCTCTCTCTCTCTCTCTCACACACACACACACACACACACACACACACACACACACACACACACACACACACTCACACACACACACACACACACACACACACACACACACACACACACACACACACACACACTTACGCTCACTTACATACATCACTTACACATGCACGTACATACACACGAGGCCAAGAGGTATATGCAAGTGTAATATTTTTTCAGGTCTTTTTTTCCCCTTTGATTAAAAAAAAAACCGCCTCCATACTTTTAAACAGGTCTAAGAGTGAGGTCAAAAGTTCCTTATGTTGGCCGATATTATACATATTTTGTAAAATATCACAACGTCTGCACTCTCGATCCCAAAAGACTGCGTGAAACCTCTAAAAGAACAAACAAAACCTTGACGATATTATACATATAATTTGTAAAGCTTCATCAAATGGAATATAGGCGTCCATTTTCTCATGCCGGTGAACGGTATTAAGCCACATGAATGGCTTATCATCACTAGTCTGGTTTTTAAAAAAAAATCAATCGCTCACCGCTTCACCTTACGGGTGGGCAATATCATCCCTCATAATTTTATGCTACTGAAAAGAAAACTTCATGCACTTGCGAACTCGACACTTCGCTGGCTTCTTAAAAGTAGAATATAATGTTCCACTTACTTCTACAAACCAAGAAGGTTTTTTTTCCGAGCTCAATACCCAACGGGCTACTTTTAACGGGACAGATACATCACTGGTTAAAATTTAAGATCCTGTACGACAAGATGGTTCACTCCACTCCGCTGAAAATGCGTCCATTCCCCTCTTATTCCCAAGTGCCGCTGATATCGCTCTCTCAGAGCTAATCTCGCTTTTTTTCGAGAAATAAAGTAGATCTAGTACATCTATTGATTTGAAAAACCCCTTTTTTGTTGTAATTTCATACGGCGATCAGCGTTTCACTGAGTTGAGTTCTTATCAACTACAACATTATTGCCTAAGACAAAGAACGACATAAGTCAGCAATTTGCAGCGGTGGTCTTATGTTTCCCTGTCTATGTCTTAGTAACCTTTTGTTTTCCACATGAATCCCGACACTTTGTGTTCACAAGTCTCTAAAAAATCTCATGGAGCTTAATTTAGAAAAGACTAGATCAATGTGCCTGACACTTGCAAAGTCTGGTAACCTTCTGGCCAGCCACCGTTAAATTGAAATTAACACACTATATTCATCTCCGCCACATTGTTCCCCCAAGTGACTCTTCCCGAAATGGAAAAGCAATAAACATCGACGTTGATAGATGCCATGATAAATTTACTATAGTACGGTAAAAATTCAGGGGGCAACTTATCCTCAAACATTATCTTTTTAACGGGTGAAGCAATGTCATCCATACTTTGCACAGCAGTTTGTCTCAATTTGTCTTAACTCTATCATATTTTTCCACAACAGTTGAGGCTAGATTAAAAAAACTTTTCCTCATAAATTTATATGAAATACTATAAATCTCTTTCACGCGGAAAATGGAATTGTTCACAGCACTTCCCGCTTCTCACACACATTTTATACACGCCTATACCCAACGCCACAGACCATAAATTATACTTTTTAGTTGAAAAACTAGTTGGAAGAAATTAATTTTATAGTGAACACTTTTTTGCACTAAAAGTTCTCAAATTATGCGCCCAATAAAGATAATCTCGCGATTAGAAAAAAATGACGGACTTGGTTTCAAAAGCGATATCGTCCCACCTGTAAACCTTTTAAAATCAGTAGAAACCATCCACTAGGATTTTCTAATTAGTTTTATTAAGCAATTTTCTAGAATAGAGCTAACAGGTCTTTACAAAAATAGTTATCTGTTCAGACAAATTGATATAAGTCACTGTGCAAAAGCTGGAGAGTTTATGTTCGATAGTTGATGAGATATTTGACAATAAGTTGCGCCACGAATTTCTCACCGCGCTATAGGCCAATAACTGCTTGACATGTCGCTACATTCCATTCATCCTAAAGTCAAAGTTAACTTAATTATAAAACGCTTATTACACGCAACTGAGATGAGAGCGTATTACAATAACAATGTTACCAAGTTCACCAAGTGCGCACCTTTTCTCAAGTGATACCGGCGATATTGAGAGCATTTTGTTTTACTTGATCAAAGAGAACAGTGAACTACTTTGTCGTATAAGAGCTTGCTGGCTACAACAATCTGGATACTTTACCAGAAGCACCAGATTTGGTACCCAACCAGCATTGTCAACATTGATGCTGGACCACTTCCATCATACTCGATGCACAAGTGGCTACCCTAAAACTCGATAACCACAGTCAACGCCATGTCTTTGCTGTATTGTGTTACTTTAGCTCACTGGATGATGAAATAAACACCCGAGTTAGGAAAGCAGCGAAGTTACAAACAATGAAGTCATGCATCGTAACGACTCGTCTCCGATTATGTCCATTATAAGCAAAAATAGGGCTTCAATGGCTAGCCTACCACCCATGAAAAATTCCAAAATTGCCTACTCGTACTAGTGGACAATATTGCCCAGGTTGGCAAGCACTGGTGCAGACGATTGAACCACGTTTCTTATATTCCACTTGATAAATGATACTTCAACAATTTAAAAACCTGTAGGTATTTTTCCGCTCCAATCGACCCTAATTAGATCATTTAGTCGGCAGGCTTCCGATCTCGTCAATCCGGGCTGAGAGAGATACAACATCCGAGCAGAAAGACAGAGAGAGATTTTGGGTCATAATTTTAAGCCTCCACACACGGAAATCTTGCTGGGGTCTCATGCGTGCGACAGCGAAGTGCCGAACCGCTACACCACGGATGCCTATTTGTATAGTCAAAATGCAAACTGTTGTATTTCACTGAAGTTTTTTCTTAAAGCATTTGCAGATTTTCTTCTTTTTCAACACTGATTTCTTTTTCTAGTGGCTAGTGTGTTTCGTATGAAGAGACAAAAAAGAATAAACGCTTCTTTGTTTACAGGAGAAAGAGTCCAAGATGGAAAATGAAACACATAGACAAACTAATCATTCGAACAGAATAGACTATATTGAAAAAATTGAAATTTCAAACGATTTTGAAACTCTGATCCCCATGCAAGTATTGGGGGAGAAACTGCAACACAAATAATACAACAGTAAACTTGCCTTTAAAACTTATAGCTCTTTATCCCGCCCAAGAAATAAATTTCAAAAAGCAAAAAACGGGTGACATGGTAAAAAACTTGAAATTTAGACCAAATGTCATGAAAACTAAATGAGTTATTCCACGCGAACGCTTTTAGAATTAAAACCCAAATTAGTTCGGAAACCCCCATGAAACAGCAATGACAGGCAATGCTATACTTAATTTAATTTAAAGTTCATGATGACCGTCTCGTTGCTTTGAAAATGCATGTGTTCTGTACTACTTTTCTTTCTTTCTTTTAAAAAAAATTGTTGAGGGTTGTAAAATTAGATATCCGTGACGTTCATTCCTAACTCTGACACTCTCTCTCTCTCTCTCTCTCTTAAATACACACAGACACACATATCCACACACACACACACACTCACACAACCTTTAGGGACCTAGATCTAACAATTTTGAAAGTGAATTTTTTTCCTCGACCCTCTCCAATCCCCATGCCCATCAAGTGAGTGAGTAGAATTGGGAGTGGATAGGTGGGGTGATTCAATGAGGGAGAAGAAATTTAGCCTCACTTTTTGTGATTTTGTCAAGTTCATCCATCCATCCATCCAACTAGTTATTTTTCTTCTGAATCTAAGAAATATCAGAGAATGTATTTTTATGTAGACATCTGCATTGTCTCTTTGTTTATTGCGTGATCAATTCAAAACCATAAAACTGTTTTCAAACGTCACTGCTTGTGGGCAGATGTAAGCTGATCATCAGAAACGAGGACACTATTATGAGTTTCATAACACCTCACTATCCATAGCTACAGTTATGCATTTATAATTAAAAGCGAACAAAGACAAAGCAAACACAAAATCAATACCGCACAGGTGTTAGCACTTTAATTATCGAAGCCACTGCATACAGACTGCGTACGAACTGCAGATATTTTACGTACAAGCCGGATATCACGTTAACTTGAGTTTCAGTTCTAATGCAAAAGTATTCTCATGAATGTTCCGTCCAGCATAGGCGTCGCATTTCAGACGTATTTGCTGAATACCTTCCAGCCTACAGCATAGGCAAATGAAAAAGCAAAACAAAAACATTTGGGTTGAATTTATAAAATACATGGTGATTAAAAAAGAATACGCCAAACTCATCACGCGATACTTCAAAAACCGAAAACAATAGAAAACTCAAGCTTGGACACACATGTGGTACATATGTACCTTCAAGTTTTTATTTCATGTTGAACATGTTCTTATGGTGCTGTAGCCACCACCGACAGCTCGGACAACATCAAGCCGATTTGAGAATTCCTCCCTAACGCGCCTCAGAATGTCTCAGGTCACCGTTTTGACTGTGGCAGTTATTCGATCTTTCATGCCATTGATATTTTCTGAAAGTGGTTTAACATAATAAGCTTTGTCTTAAACATACCCCCTCAAAAACAATCACACACAGTGAGTTCCGGGGA